TCCTTGACTCATGCATGTAGCTCTAAGTTTGGTGGGGGGGAAGGGGTCCCAGACAGTAAACAATCAACTGAACCTTGAGCGATCAGATTACATGCAGAAAGGGAGCTACTGCAAGGACTATGTCTTTTGTTCATGGCCTTCCCAGACACTGCTTTCAGTCTCAGGAAACTGAAATTGAGGCCTGATCTCTGAGAGAAGACAGAGCAGCCTATTATGTCATCTGCTTGGTCCTTTCATTTTGTCTCAGAATCTTTTGTTTGTGTGTGCGGACACACAGTCATGGGTGTTCACACACAGGCCAACAAAGAGTCACACACACAGGTGCTGGTAGGATTCACTGGAGCTAGAATAACAGTCAGATGTGGGCCACCTGATGTGGATCCCAGGAATTAAGCTCAGGATCTCTGGAAGACAGGACATGCTCTTAAGCATTGAACCATCTCAAGTCCCATCTGGGAATTGAAATTTTTTTCTTTGTGACAGCCACCAGGAAAGAATGGATAGTGCTGATGGGACAGCAGCTATGAGTTGCATCTGAAGCATGGGGGAGAGGGGGAACAAATGTGTCCAATCCACCAAAAGCTGCACTGAGAGTGAGCAAGGTTCCCTCAGCCTGGACAAGAGGGCAGTCTTGGCACATCTGGGTTTGGAAGTGTAGTTATTGAAGAGTGTGTATAAACACAGTCTGTGAGTTTGAGGCTAGCCTGTTCTACATAGAGAGTTCTAGGCCAGGCAGGGCTCCGTAGTGAGACTGTAGCTGGAGTTTTCTTCAGCTACTGCCAAACGCCAGCAGTCCCGCAGCCCACTTATAAAAATAAACACACAGACGCTATTACTTATAAACTGTATGGCCATGGCAGGCTTCTTGCTAACTGTTCTTATATCTTAAATTAACCCATCTCTAGTAGTCTGTAAGTTGCCACATGGCTCGTGGCTTACTACTGGTACCTTACATCTTTCTTGTCATGGCAGTGGCTGGAAGCATCTCTCCGACTCAGCCTTCCACTTCCCAGAATTCTCCTCTCTCTTTGTCCTGCCTATACTTCCTGCCTGGCTACTGGCCAATCGGTGTTTTATTTATTAACCAATCAGAGCAACACCTTTAACATACAGAACATCCCACAGCAGTGAGACCCTGTCTTAAAAGAAGAAAAGTTTAAACAAGTGTGGAAAATCAAAGGTTGGAAAAGCATCCTCTAGGGGATCTGATGCCCTCTGCTCACCTCTGTGAGTACCTGCGCGCGAGCGCACACACACACGTATACACACATTCTCCCCCAGGCTGTGAAAAGGCTCTAAGGGATGCCAGTGTAACCTTGGAAGAGGTCATTTCTTCACCAGGACACTTGTGCTCCAAAGCAGCCAAAAACCTGAGGTCCAGATGCCAACCTGTTGGTGCAGAACAGTGAACTGCAGGCCGGGAATAGTGTTCCACCTTCTACCAAAGGGCCTAGTGATCAAGTAGGAAATGTCAGAGGGAGGAAAAGAAAACTAAATCAGGGGCTGGAGAGGTGGCTTGGCCGTTAAGAGCACTAGCTGGTTTTCCTGGGGGCCTGAGTTCTTTTTCCAGCACCCACATGACTTCTCATAACCATCTGTAACTCCAGTTCCTGGGGATCCAACACCCTCTTACCTCTGTGAACCCCATACACATGCTACACTGAAATACATATAGGCAAAACACTCATATACATAAAATAAAAATAAATCTTGTTTTTACAAATCAGCCCTGTGTTTGACCATCATCTATGGATGTCACTTACACTTAAAATTACAGTGGCCAGGGAGAAAGGAGCTTGACAGATAGTTCAACAGTTAAGAGCACTTGCTGATCTTCCGAGGACTAGAGCTCAGCTGTCAGCAGCCACACTAGGCAGCTCCCAACCACCTGTGACTCTAGTTCCAGGGGGATCCAACACCCTCTTCTGGCCTCCACATCACCAGCAAGTCATGGCCCACAAAGAGAGTCTACATAAATAAATAAATTTAAATCTTCAAGGAAAGATTCAAAGGACAGAGAGGTCCTAGCTCTTGTTCACTATTCAAGGTGGGATTACCACCAATACTCTAGTCTCAACTTCTGGGTTGAGTGGGTTGAGTGGGAGTATTATTGCAGTGGGAAAGGGTTAAAAACTGTCCAGAATGGCAAGAATAAAAGATAATGGAATATGAAGTCTCATCCCAGGACAGCCGTATCACCTCCTCCAAGTCTCAGGGAGTGTCGCAGAAGGGGCAGGGAAAAAAGTGTAAGACGCAGAGTGCAGAGTAATGTGCAGCAAGAAGATGTCTTCTGGACATAACATCCCCATCGAATTCATGAGCTCCTGCAGCTGTGGTTACCTGCGCAAGATTTGGCCTGCCAGCATCTCATCATGGATAAGGGAAGAAGGGCCTCCCTGAGTTACTGTTGGCAGTTGATGACTGCTGGGGCTGGGGTGATAATGTTTTCTTCAGTAGTGTAGCCACTGCTCAGTTGCGCATGCTCCCACACTCATGTCGGTAACTCTAATTAAACTCCGTGGGTTACAGACATAAAGGATATGAGAGGGACTTGTTGAAAAGAAGAATGGCTTCAGTGGGTGCAGGCGGGGTGTGAGAGAGAATGGGTGAAAACAACTAACACTCATCGTATCTGTGAATGAAACTGTCAAAGAATAAAAAAAAAAAAACATGAAATGAGCAGAGCGCAACAGCACTGTCCAGCTATGTTATACCTTGCCAAATGGATGAGAATGTCCCCCATAGGCACATGTGTGTCAACACTTTGTCCGCAGCTAGTGGCGTTGTTTGGCGGGTGTTTAGGAGGTATGGCCTCATTGGAGGACAGATGCTACTGGACGTTGGCTTTGGTAGTTTAAAGACTCAGTTTCCAGTTTGCTCTCTCTGCTTCACGCTTACACCTGGAGATGTGAGCTCCCGGCTTCCTGCCTCAGCTGCCACGCCTGCTGCTTGCTGCTCTACCTCCCCACCAAGATGGACTCTTACCCTCTGGAACTGTAACAGCCAATAAACCCTTCATTCTGTGAGTTGCTTTGGTCATGGTGTTTCATCGCAGCAACAGTAAAGTATAATACACCAAACAAACAGAGTGTATGGAAGACAGGCACAAAGGAAAAGATACGTAATTCTATCAAAACCCTACAACAGTAGCATTCGTCTCTGTGAAAAGAAGTGCAGAATCAGGATGCAGCTGCACCACTGCCTTGTATGAAATACCTGAAGGGTTAGACCAATGAATCTCGACCTCCCAGTAATTTGCATTTATACAGCACTATTCGGCCACTTTACTAAATCATTTAACAAATGCCTACTAGTTGAGTTTCTATGTCCTGGAGATAGCTCTTCAAGAAGAACTTATGTCACAAAATTTTATTTTCAGTTTAAAAGGAGAAATCCAGAACTGTTAGGTGTGGCTGAGTGATAGAGTACCTGCTTAGAATCCCCCAGTGAGGGGCTGGGGTATGGCTCAGTGGTAGAGCCCCTGCCTAGAATCCCCCAGGGAGGGGCTGGGGTGTGGCTCAGAGATAGACCTGCCTAGAATCCCCCAGTGAGGGGCTGGGGTGTGGCTCAGTGGTAGAACCCCTGCCTAGAATCCCCCAATGAGGGGCTGGGGTGTGACTCAGCGATAGACCTGCCTAGAATCCCCCAGTGAGGGGCTGGGGTGTGACTCAGCGATAGACCTGCCTAGAATCCCCCAGTGAGGGGCTAGGGTGTGGCTCAGTGGTAGAGCCCCTGCCTAGAATCCCCCAGTGAGGGGCTGGGGGTGTGGCTCAGTGGCAGTGTTTTCAGAACTGATGCTGAAGAAAAGTCTATTCTTCCATGAAAAGAAAAGCATGTACAATGAGAGAGTCTCCATTTCATACCAAACCAGATAATCAGTCATTTTTAATTGACTTTGGACCATTCACTGGTATTTAGTTATTTTGGCTCTGCTCTTCCATTCCAAGCCATTCCCACACACTAGCTTTATTAATCATGCTGCTTAAGATGCTGACAAAGAGTGGAAGAAACAAGACTACTAGTGTACATCACACAAAACACATTTGACCTTGGCCTTCAGTAGAACATGTTTTCCACTTGAATTGAGGCAGACAGACTGATATTCTCCAACATCCATTCTTCTCTTCCACAGTGTAGAACTTATAACATAACCAAAAAAGCACATAAAAATTATACTATGAAATGATGGTGCATTTATATACTGCATATTGTTTTTTTTAATTTTATTTTATTTTACAATTCCATTCAGTTCTACATATCAGCCATGGGTTCCCCTATTCTCCCCCCTCCCACACCTTTTCCTTACCCCCAGCCCAACTGCATATTGTTTAAATCAATTAAACATTTATCTCTTCATGTACCAAATCTTTTTAAAGATTTTTAAAATTATTATCTTATTTATCTTGTGTGGGGGTGGGGCTATCTTGCCTATGTGTATGTCTGTGCACCACACAGATGCCTGTGACCTTGGAGTTCAAGATAGAGCATCAGACCCCTAGAACTGGAGTTAGAAATGGTTGTGAGCTGCCATGTGCATGCTTGGAATCAAACCCAGGTCCCCTCAAAGAGCAGCAAGTGCTCTTAACTGCTGAGCCATTTCTACATCCTCTGATTTATTTTAAGTGTGTGTGTGGGGGGGCAACATGCATATAGGTATGACATGTGAGTGCAGTAGGTATGACACAGAGGCCAGAAGAGAGCAGTGACTCCTCTGGAGCTGGACATACAGGTCAGTGTCCTGACGAGAGTACAGGGAACTACACTCCGGTCCTCTGCAGGAGCAGTAGGCACTCTTAACAGATGAGCCATCTCTCTGTCCCCATTTACCAACTCTTTGTGGTGGCATTCTCAAGTCTTTTCTTCTGGCTTTTGAAATGCATTATATAAATTTCTGTCTGCACAGTAGTGCCCGTTAGTGTTTGATTATGAAATATATTCCAAGGAGCATGTGGTGAATTCTAGATTATGATGCTATTTGGGGAGTTCTGGAAACACTGGGAGGTTCTAGAAGTGTTGAGAGATGGGGCATGATTAGAAGAGAGAGTTCACTGAGACTCAGACTTTGAAGGTTCTCTGTAGTCTCCAGTTCCATCATGGCTCTGATTCCGCTTCATTTCGAGGTAAAGAAAATTTGTTTCCACTCATTGCTCCTGCTGTGATGTTCTGGCCAAGCAACTATGGGCTGAACCCTTTGAACCTTTGGACTAAATAAATCCTTCCTGCCCTGTTGTTTTGTAAAATATTTTGGTCATAGCTATGTAAAAGTAAAAGCAAATACAATACCCAACAGCTTTTACTGGTGTGTAACTATAATACAGCAATGATCCCCCAGGGGTAAGATTGTGTGTGTGTGTGTGTGTGTGTGTGTGTGTGTGTGTGTGTGTGTGTGTGTGTGTGTGTTTTATGTGTTTTATGTGTTTGAGGGTTTGCCTGTATGTATGTTTGTGTATCATATATATGTACTGCCTGTGGAGGCCAGGAGAGGGCATCAGATACCTGGCAACTGGAGTTACAGATGGCTGTGAGTCACCACATAGGTGCTGGGAACCAAACCTGGGTCTTCTGAAGAGGAGAGCACTGAGCCATCTCTCCAGCCTCCAAAATGGGTATTTAGTGAGCTCAGCTAGACTTGGTCCCCAGCCTCTCTCGTAGCCCTATGGGACATGTGAAACATTGTGGTAATGAGATATGGCTGATGGCACATGATGGCCCATCAGCACCAAATGAATTTTCATTCCTCCCTTCAAAAATGGGCAAAGAGCTTCAGTAGACATTGTCTGCAAAAGATGTATGAATGGTTAGAGAGCCCTTAATAGTTAAAGTACACCACAGCCACCGTCAGGGACTGGGGAGACGATTATTGGCTAAGGCCCTTGCCCTGGAAGCAGCAAGCATAAAGACTGTGTTAGGATCTTCAGAACCCACATAAATGCCAGGTGGGTACAGTGGCCTGCCTCTAATTACAGCGCACAGAAGTCTGAGACTGGAGCCACAGAGCGAACTAGCTGGATCTGTGAGCTCTGGATCGACTGAGAGACCCTGTCTCTGGCCTGGAGATGGCTCAGTGGGTCGTGACACTCACTGCCAGAGTTTGACCCAGGAACCCACATGGAAGGTGAGAACTGACACCCACAAGTTACCCTCTCACCTCCACACACACAAGCAATCAATGTAATGGAGGGAAAAGAGGCGAGCAAGAGCGGGAGGAAGACGCCACCTTAGACAAGCTCATCCCCATCCAGGGGCTCTCAAGATTTTAGGGGAACAATTGAAGGATGTTGGTGAAAAGCTAGCCCAGCACTAAACTGGGATGATAAAATGTCTGGACTTGGGAGTTCTAGAAACATCCATTTCCAGCTCAGGGGTCTACTTTTTCCTGTAGAGAACCCACCAAGGATCTGAAACCTGACACTGTGCCTACACCTCTGTTCCTAGGGAGACTTTGCTTCGGGCTCTCAGCATCCAGGCCCATCTGTTGCACAGGGGCTGCTACTCAAGTAGTCCGGAGAGACAAGCGGGGAGGACCAGCCGAGGCCGCCCGGAGAGACAAGCGGGGAGGAGCAGCCGAGGCCGCCCGGAGAGAGACAAGCGGGGAGGACCAGCCGAGGCCACCGATGGATGAGAAGCGAGAACAAGTGGGACACTTGTGCGACTGAGCACCCTCATCTGCTGCAGTTGGATAGTTGGACTATTCTTGCCCCTCATTCAGAAACACACAACACTGATTCCAGCCCTGAAAAATGAAAAGACGTGTAGGAGGTAACCATAGAGATGGAAATTTTTAAAAAAGCACAGAGAAGTCAAGGTAAGAAGAATAGCAGGTGTGGAGGAAGAAAATGAAACAAAATAGATGCTTCGAAGCTCTGTGAACTTAACCCTCAGCTACTGGCATTCATGCCTGTGCCAATCCACCCATGTAATTCAGTTTTAAACCGTTCTGAATCTAGTTAATACAAAGTTTACAGAGGAAGAGAAAAATATTAGCAATATTTCAAAATGACTGGTCTACAGACACTCACAGAGAAGGGGTTGCATTGGCTGGAATATGAGGCTGAAAAGGAGAAGCCAGGACAATTTCAGTTCCTATGCAATGGAGCACCAGCAAAGCTCAGAGACCATTGTATGGCTTCCTTTAGAAATAAGTATTAGGGCTGGGAACACTGCTCAGTGGTAGAGTACCTGCCTAGAATCCCCCAGTGAGGGGCTGGGGTGTGGCTCAGTGGTAGAGCACCTGCCTAGAATCCCCCAGTGAGGGGCTGGGGTGTGGCTCAGTGGTAGAGCACCTGCCTAGAATCCCCCAGTGAGGGGCTGGGGTGTGACTCAGGGGTAGAGTGCTTGTCAGCCATTCATAAAAGCCTGAGTTCATTCTCAGCATTACCAAAATGACAAAAGACTTAGTGAGCCAAACCAGGCTGAGAAGAATGCCAAAGACAGACTCCATCTCTGTGGTTTCTGATAGGGAGCCATACTCAAGGAAGGTGTGAAACGACCAAGGCAGGAAATATTAGGAATTCCACTTGTACTGACTTCAGTTGAACATATTTATCTGTATACAGAAAGAGGATAAGGATAAATAATTATCATATGACAAAAACCTGGAGATGACTGCTGGGTTATGGAAAGCAGGTTTGGTGACACATCTGTAATCCCAGCACTGGGGAGGTGGAGATCCGGGACAGTGAGGCCAACCCAGGTCCTCTGCAAGAACAGCAAGTGCTCTTAGTTACTGAGCTGTCTCTACAGCCCTGAGCCAAACTGTCTTGAACTACGTATATGCTCCAGTCACGGAGGCTGTGTTGTAAGAACCACATCCCGCCCCCCATTTCTATGTGTTTTATTCCATTGTAATAATGATTATCATGAATGGTTTCACAGAACCTGGAAAATTATTATAAAGTTTATTGAAACAATATACAGTGTAGCTGAACCATTTGTCATGCTTAAAAATCGACTGCTCTCTCAGACTTAAAAGGGCATTCTTCTACAAAGGGACAGTACTTTCAGTCTTATGGCACTGCTGGTTCTGTAGGCTGTATGTTTTCTTGATGGCCTTGTGCACATAGGCAAGAACTCTAGCATTTATTATTTTTAAATTGTGTGTGTGGGAGGAGGGGTGTGTGAACACAGGTACCCTCAGAGACTCAACAGTGCCCTGGAACTAGAGTTGTAGGTGGTTGTGAGCGGCTGATGTGGGTGCTGGGAACCTGACTAGTCCTCTGCAAGAGCAGTATTGGCTCTTAATCACTGAGCTATCTCTCCAGCCCCTATCTATTATCCCTTCTGCCTTAGCCTCTGAAGTGCTGGGATTATAGACATGCACCCTTGGTTCTTTTTAAAGAGAATTTAAACAGGGGCTAGGTAATAGCTCAGTGGTTTAGAACACTTGATCTTCCTGTAGAGGACACAGGTTTGGTTTGAGGCACCCACATGGAGGCTCACAGTTGCCTCTAACTCCAGTTCTGGGGGAATCCATCACCCTCTTCTGGTATCCATGGGCACTGCAGGCACACATATACACACAAACTCTTTAAAAAGACAGCATAATTTGGGTTTAAAAAATAATTTAAATATAATAGTTCACAAACTGGCTGTAAACCCATGAGAATTTATTATGCAGTATAAGTCATTTAGAGCATCCAAGTGAGGGTCATGAAATAATGGTACAATTAGAAAAAGATTGTGTTAGCTCTCATTCCATATTAAAAAATTCTGAAGCCAGGCAGTGGTGGCACACACCTTTAACCCCAGCACTGGGACACAGAGGCAGGTAGATCTCTGAGTTTAAGGCCAATCTGGTCTAAAGAGTGAGTTCCAGGCTAGTCTGGGCTACACAGAGAAACCCTGTCTTGAACCACCACCCTTCCCTCAAAAAAAAAAATTAGTGGGAGAAATCCATGGAATCTGCTTTAAGGGCAAAGAAATTCATTTGGGAAAGAAAACTCACAAGACAGACTAGAGGAATTTGTCACAGGGTCCTGGAAAGGTGAGGCATGGTCCCACGCTGTTCTTCTGTCTCAGATCTGCCTGGTCTTCCCCAGCATCCAAAACCATGAGGGAGTGAAGAGAGAGAACACCAAATATGTGCATCCCAGGTCTGAAGGGTTCCTACTGGACTTCAAGGTCATAGGCAGGTATAACAGTTACCTGTTACCTCACTAGGCGTGGTGATTCAAGATCATAGCTAGAACAGCTACCCACTGCAAAAATATTTTGTATTTAAAATACTAGAAAAAAGTACTCAGGAAAAATTGATCTTGAAATGAGAGAACTTGTAAACATTATGAGCTATAAGAATGACATATTTATGGGGGCTGGCGGGTTAGCTCAGGGGTTAAGAGCACTGGGTACTCTTCCAGAGGACCTGAGTTCAATTCCCAGCACCTACATTTCAGCTCACAACGGTCTATAACTCCAGCTCCTGGGGACCTGTTACCCTCACACAGACATACATGCAGTCAAAGTACCAATGCATATAAAAATAAATAAATAAATAGATGACAAATTTAATCATATAAAACTAGAAATTTTCTACATAGCAGGAGACACACAACAGATAATAGAATAATGAGATGCTATCTGTGATGTATATGACAAACAGTAATTAAACAGTCACACCGAACAAATGATAATTTCACAAGAAATTAAATACCTGAGCAGGACAACAAATATAAAAGGATCGATCATAGTAAAAATAAATAATTAGAAACCCCGATATCATCATCTTTACCTGATAAATATATACATGGGGCGTGGTGTTACCCATCTATAATTCTAGTGCTTGGAAGGATAAGGCAGAATGATCCTGAGTTCACAGCTAGCCTGGACTACATGATGAGTTCAAGGCTAGCCTGGGCTATCCTGACTCAAGGTTATGCTGCAAAAATGAAAGAGTGAGGAGTAGGGCTACAAAAAATGGTAGAGCATTTGCCAGCGTGTGGAAAGTCTTGTGTGTCATCCCAGCAGGCCATGTCCTACCCTAAAAATCCCGGAAGATAATGATAGATGAGTTTTCATTTACACTGGCAAAGATTAAATATGTCCACTGTTGGCAAAGGTACAGAGAAATACTAGCTGTAATACAAAGTGGTAATAAAAATTAAAGTAATGGAAGTGTTCAGCCTTTTGGGATGTAGTTTGCCAACTTTTATCACAAATTAGAACATGAGGTTTTTCTATTCTATTTCTAGAAACATTTCCTAAAGAATTGTATATATCTAAGAATGTTCTTACAGCATTGCTTAAAATTGCATAAAACCAGAAACAGACTGGGTATGGTGGTACATGTCTTTAATCTTAGCACTGGGAAAGCAAACACAGATGGATCTCTTGGAGGCTAACCTGGTCTACATAGACAGTTCCAGGCCAGCCTGAGCTACAGAGATCCTGTCTCAAAAGACAAACAACAAAAAGACAGGGGCTGGAGAGGTGGCTCAGTGGTTAAGAGCCCTTGCTGCCCTTGCAGAGACCTGGGTTCAGTTCCCAGCACCAACATGGTGGCTCAGAACCATTTGTAACTCCAGTTCCAGAGGATCCAATACCCTGTTCTGGCCTCCTGGGGCATCAGGCATGCTTGTAGTGCACAGTGCACAGACATTCATGCAGGCAAAACCTTCATACACATAATATATCAGAAACAACCTAGATGTCTAGCTCAGTGGGAGCAGATACATCATGACATATCCGTATGGGTGATTAGTATTGTACTGATGTATCTATCGCTGTATAACATACCCCCAACCCTAACCTTCACAACAACAAGATGCATCCACTGTCCTGAGAGTTCCAGTGTGTGAGAGTCACAAGCAGAGGTGATTCTGCCGAGAACCAATCCTGATACCAGTCAACGCTGACCTAAGTTGTGTGATACCTAACACAGCTGTCTGATGTGTTAACACAATAGCTCACTCCATGGCTGGCAGGTGTCTGGCTAGAGGCCAGTTGCTGCTCTCAGGGCTCTCTCCACAGGCTGTTGGAGTAGCCTCAGTATAACCACTGAACTTCTCCCCTAAGCGAGCAATCCAACAGAAGGCTGACACTGTGCTGTAGCCTCAGGAGACAGAAGGACAGAAGGACATTGAGTTAGCGTTTTACCACTGTGACCAGACCTGGCAGGACACCTTAAGGAGGAAAGTACTTATTTTGGCTCACGGCTCCATGGGTTCTGTCCACAGTCCTTAGAGGCAGAGCATCCTCACAGCCGTAGGATATGTGGAGAGAGCTGCTCACTGCAAGTTGGACAAAGAAAGGAAGCAGGAAGTGCATGGAGGGGGTTGATAAAACATCCCAGGGCGTAGCTCTGAGAAAGGATTGACTGAGTGTGAAAGACTTGCCTGGAATGTGCATGGCTGCATCCCCCAGGCCCAGGGAGAAGACCACCCTGTGCCGCCATTTCTTTTCTGCACATCCTAGTCACCATGCCACTGGCTCTTCCCTTCATTGCCCTCCCTCTACCACAGACACCTCAGAAGCCTCAGATTCCAGTGCTTATGTCTTGAGGCTATTCCAGCAGTCTGTGCAGAAAGCCCTGTGAGCAGCTACTGGCCTCTGAGGCAGCCCCTTGTCAGCCACACAGTGGCCGTTCAGACAGCACCAGGTGAGCTTTGACTGATCTCAGCAGTATCCTGGGCAGAACCACCTCTGCCTATGAGAAACCCTCCTTCAGGTTATTACACAGCCCAAGCCTGCTTTTCTTTTGGTGTGCCCCACTGGCCTGATTGCTCAAGTCAGAAACCTAGGCGCTGGCCTCGCTTCCTCCCTCTTACATAATCTGTACAGACACCCACAGTGACTCCAGCTGCATGGAGCACCTAAATATCTCAGGTTGTGCTGAGTTTTCTTCACCTCTGTGGCTATCACTCAAGTTAATACTTTTTTTTTTTTTTTTTTTTTTGGTTTTTCAAGACAGGTTTTCTCTGTGTAGCTTTGCGCCTTTTCCTGGAACTCACTTGGTAGCCCAGGCTGGCCTCGAACTCACAGAGATCCGCCTGGCTCTGCCTCCCGAGTGCTGGGATTAAAGGCGTGCGCCACCACCACCCGGCAAGTTAATACTTTTTTAAAGACTTGTTTTTATTTATTTATTAAATTTTTTAAAAGACTTATGTATATGAGTGCCGTGCCTATATGTCTGGGTACCATATATATGCATTGCCTGCTGAGGCCAGAAGAGGGCATCAGATCCCCTGAGACAGGTTACTGGGATATGAGTACTGGGAATCTAACCCTGGCCCTCCAGAGGGGCAGGAGTGCTCTTAAGTGCTTAGCCATTTGACAGGCAGCCCCTTACTTATATTTTTTAATGAGTGCTTTGCCTACAAGTATGTGGACCTCATGAATACCTGATGCCCTGGGGGGTCAGAAAAGGGCATTGGATCCCCTGGTATGGGAGTCACAGATGGTGTGAGCTACCACACGGGTTCTGGAACCAAACCTTAGTCCTCTGCAGAAGCAGCAAGAGCTCTTTACTGCTGAACCATCTCTGCAGCCCTAAGGTAGGATATCTTTGCTGTAATCAAATGGTAAGTGTCTTCCTTGAGATTCCCAGGTATCTGGGGGAAATGAATGAGACCCAAACAAAAGTCAAATACATTCAGGTCTTCAGCGTGGGTCACTGCTATTTTAACATCAGATAGCTACCCATGAGAGGAATATCATTTCTATGTTGGCAGCCTTTAGTTTATAGAAAGTGTTGTTTGTGTGTGTGCTGGAATTCCTGTGTACAGTTGGGGAGAGGCTTCATCTAGATCTGGGATGGGATGGGGGATTCCTTTTCCTTTCCCCATAATTTTCCCTGTCTTTCTGTTCTGATTCACTACAACTCATTGCCTTATTGTATTTTTGTGACAATCAGTACTGTATGTCTCTGCATGCAGCCCAAGC